CCAGAAGGACAATTCACATGGAATGCACATGGACTCGTTTTCTTAACTATGCTGCTAACCATATAAATAAGGCAGCAGTTCAAGAGCACAACAAAATTGCAGAGGAGCTTTAAACTGCAGTGGTTCTCTGACAATAACCATCTCTACCACTCAGAACTCAATCCTGACAGGGATGTTTGGGAGCTGTATCAATTTAAACGAAAGAGCAATGATGCGACAGCAAAGTTTAGATACCCCTTCATTAACTTACTTGCACAAAATGTAATTTCATGGATATGCATTTCCCCTGATGAAACAAGTAACTTCCTTAGCACCTAACATGAAGAAAGGAACATAGCTCCATGTCCTGTTTCAGGAAAAGACAGGGAATAGGACTGCCCTGCAGGAGAAACCCAGAGTCCCGCAGCCAGCTCTCTGAAGAAAAGATATTATTCTGTTCACTTTTCAAATGATCTCGATGGTTAAAGGTCATGTTGAGCTATCTGATGAGATAAGAACAAACAGAAAAAGTTAATAAACATATTTACCGAGTATAAACACACTTCAGCTCTTTTTGTGAGGCCATATTGGAAAGGCCTGAACATAGCCAAGGGAGGTTACTCAAAAGATACTCAAAGGAAAACTAGGATAACAGAGATATTTAAATGTTTCTGTGTTCTTTAAGCGAAGTTCAGGAAGTCATATCACTTGAGGTGTTTAAAATGGGAAAACATGTTATCTGTCTGCACAGTACAGGAGTAACTCAGCTTTACACAACCTTTGACTTTGAACTCCATCATTCCCCTCATTTGCTATGCTTGATTAATCCATAATCTCCTCTGCTCAGAACACTTCAGGAACGAAGCACAGCACAACCACAGCTCTATTTCCAAAGCATTAAGATTTTCAGTGTCCAATCTCATCACAGTTCTTTGCTCCTACAACTGAGGACAAAGAACATAAATACCACTAACAGCATGTATGCATAGACAACGGACAAAGCAAATAAGGACATCTTCAGAGGTATTCTTTCAACTTTTATGTCTATTCTGTATGTAAATAAATATTTGCAGAAATCTTGAACAAAACTTTCTTCAAGAGTCCTACTTGTATTCAGAGATATACACTGTGTAACAGAAAACAAGGTTCTATTGAAACAAGCCAATTCTCTCAATAAACTATGAAATCATGAAAGGTAGAAATTGGGTTGAGCTGAAGATCTTGGCACCAGTTAGGTTTTGTTACCATCATCTTAAAAACCCACCCAGTGAAAATATGAACTTTTTTCTCAGCCTCCTAACAGCAGAATCAGAAAGCTATCTAAAAACCAGAGCTAATAAAAGAAAATAACTTTGGAAGATCATACATATGTCAAGAGATGTGTAATACATAAACTGTAACAGAACAGTCAGCATTACCTGAAAATGTATTAACAAAGAAAAAAAGTTTACTAAATCTACTTTACCCAGTTCTCAAAACAATATACCTTTACACAAGGAGCCAAGTGGTAAATTTGATATGCACTTATAAATTTAGAGGTTGAAGAAAGATATGGCAGTGCTTTTAGAGCTACCTCTAAATATTTTTTTTAAACATCTATTCAAAGCTGCTTTAAGTAATTCACCAAATTGCTACTAACTTCATATGTTTTCCTCCAAAAATTCTATATCCCTCAACCACCTGAAGATGACAAAGGACTGCACTTCCACTGCAAATGGTCTATAAATCTATCCCAGCTGCAAGGAAGCGAACAGATTGGGTTTGCTGTCTCATCCCATGACAGAATTGTGGAATACCAAATCCAACCAGCAGGTGTTTGGCTCACAGGTATCACAGAGGGTCCAAAACATCTCACCAGCCAGTGGAACCCTTGGTCACAGGCCGCTGTCCATTAAATTCACATGTTATGTGAATTTAAGAGGCAACTGGAAAAGTTCACAGAAAACTACCAGGGGTATTAAAACCAAATCACAATCCTTTGCTCAGTGTGATTCTGACCCCCACATGAACACCAACAGGGAGAGTACATCGCAGAAGCATCACTCCATGCTTGCACAATTCGTTTCCCTTAGTTAGAATTTACTTCTGCCCCATCGTTGTTGATTTCCCCTCCACAGCCCTCACTGCAAATGAGGACTGCGTGAATTCATGGAAAAGAGGAGGATGGAGAAAGCTGGCCAAAGACAGATAAGGGTCAGCAGGGTGGCTATTCCTCTGTTACTCCACCTTCCCAAGAGCTGTCCAATTTCTCATGCACGTGTCAGCATCCACTGTTTCACAGCTAGGAATTAGCACATGTGCCTGGTTTCATTTCCTCCCGTGAATGAGAAACCTCAGGTGATGGAAACCAGAGCCTGTTTCACTGTGCTTTTTTTTTTAAGACATATTCAATTATCATGTTGTTTATTTCCATGTTATGATGGTACTTGATCCTGAAGCATCTAGAAAAGTCCTAGAAACCCTGAAAACAGAAACTGTAACATTCCAGCCTTTTGTAACAAATTCATGGTCTAACTTGTGATCTGATAGTTAATTGTTTTAAACCTATCTGACATAGTTTTTTAACACTTTTAAGAAGTGTTTGAAAGTGATCTGTGACTATGATTTGCTCAGGATATTTCACCTTAAGAAAATCTAGCTTTTGCAAAATTCTGAGCAGATCTAATGTATTGGCAAACCTACCCTCATGCACCTGATAGCCTTCAGCCAACTTAATCACAGCCTTTCTTGTTGGGATGCCTGCCTCCCATAAAAACCTTCCAGAAAATATAAAACTGGGAAGTGTGTGCAAGCTGCACTCCTGTCTGACACAGAATAAAGATAAAACTTCTGTGTTTTCTTCGAGTATAGCGAATACTGTTGGACAATTTATTGCCCCTGCTTCTGAGGGTTGTGACAGCTGCACTACACAGGAAGGAGCCTTAATTTTTTCACTGTACATCATACTTCAGAAATTCGTGGTACAAACTGGAGCACCACAGAAGTACACAACAAATAAAGCCACATTGACATCACCAAGTATGAGACAAGGGAATAATCCTTTATCACCAGCCAATATAATCCTTTCCATAAAGCCAGAAGGAAAGAGACCTCAGAGGCAGAATCAAAATTCACAGAATCAATGAGGTCGGAGAAGACCTCTGAGATCTTCGAGTCCAACCTGTGACTTGCCAGCACCACGCCACCAGCCACCGCTAAGTGCCACATCCAGTCTTTCCTTAACAAGTGGTTCCAGACACAATGACTCCGTCACCTCCCTAGCTTCCCAATCCAGTACATAATCAACCTTTCTGAAGAAATTCCTCCTAACGTCCTCCAAACAATTCTGAAGTAAGGGAACGGAAGAAGTTGCGTCCGAAATTTTGGGAGCTTGATCCTTTTACCTACCACCTACTTACGTGGCAGCTCCGACACGACCATCTGGAGCTACAGCAGAAGCGCTGACTCAGTGGTCACTGACTTAGGCGGATCCGCACCGCTCCAGGTCACAAAACTTCACACAACCTCCTGCAGACCCTGGAGAGCGGCGGAGACCCCTACACACAGCGGGCTCCTGCTACCGGGCGGTGCTTGCCAGGAGCCCCGAGCGGCCCTCGCTGCCTCCCGCGCCCGCCCTGCCCGCGGCAGCGGC